GAGTCTTATACAGTGGTAATATTTTTTCTGAGCCGCCCCGAGGCTTTGTTGCAATGGGGGCGGCATAGAAATGTTTTAAATAAAATAAATAAATAGTAATACCCCTCTCAATCTAGAAGCCACAACAAACACTGAGCATAAGCAGCGCCTTCCCTTCCAGTGTGATGCAGTGCTGCTGAAAGGAAAATAAAACACGTGGAAAACCAAAATTGCAGCATGGTTTGGATCGGACATCTGGACTAGAACTGAACGGAACACTTTGAACGGTGCCTGGGAATTCTGGGGACTGTGGTCTGAAACATGAAGGGTGCCAGGCTGGGGAAAGCTGCTCTGAGCCATGGAACAGTCCGGAAGGGATGGGCATCGAGTTGGTCCCCCGTTTGAGGGCCCCCTTGGAGCATCCAGGGATGACGGGCACCCACAGACGCTGCATGGGGGGCCCCTGGGTTGAGGCATCCGGAAACTGGGCCCGATCGTCCACAGCCGGTGTTCGCACCGGGCACTGCAGTGAGTTGGGCAGTCGCTGCTCTCCGGCCTCGCAGGCCTTGGGCAATGGCAGCCCCTGGATCTCCCAGCCAGGATGTGCGATAGGCTGGCTTTCCTGAGTTGGCTTTTCAGAGTGCGTGATTCAGCACTGCAGCGTCTGAAGGAGACCCAGAGAACAATGCAGGCCGCCCACCCCCCACCTGATGCCCGAGCCGTCCAGATGCAGGCAAAGCAACTCAAAACCCCGCACATGCCACCAAAGGGGCAAGCAATCTTCCAGGTCGCCTCCTGTCAGGAGCCCACGCAGATGCAATGCTGCCAAAAGCCACGGGGCCGTGCATGGCGAATGAGAGGCAGGAGGCAGCGATGCGAGCGGCTCGCCAGGAGACCCGGAAGGAAGGCTGCACTCTGGCACTTCCGCGCTTGCAGCGGAGCGGCTGATGCAAATCAGCTCGTCCGGGGGCGGGGGGGTGACGGCGCCTGGGCCAATGTTGTTTGCTGCAGTGCTGCAGGGAAGCTTGCTCTGCCCTGTGCGTTGTCCTTTGACCCCCGTGCCACTTCCCAAGGGGAGAAATGCGGAACGGAGGCAGATGTCCTGGCTGTGGGAAAAATGCCCAGATCCAGGATGCCTCATCAGGCTGACACAACGATCGGCCCGCAAGGGGCGAGCTCCCAAAATGCCCCTTCATCAGGCAAAACGTCCCAAAAGCGTTGGCAGGTTGGGAGCAGGGACGGGTCACGAGCCGGCCTGAGTGTCTGGTCCTGCTGCCACACCATCAGTCCGAAGAGGAGGGGGCGATCGCAGAGGCCGAGGCAGCTCCGGCCAGGGAGGGGATGCTTTCAGGGCCCCCGCAGGCCCACCAGGTCGAGCAGGAGAGCTGCGAGGGCGCATTCCGCTCTGCAGTGGGCCTGGGGCACCGCAGTCGGATGCCCCGGAACGCCTTCCCCACTGCCGGCAGCAGGGCCCCCGTGGCACCAGCTCCCCCAGCCCCTCGGCTGGCAAGATGACTGGGATTGTGCCCCGATCTTAACAGAACATTTGCGGTCCCACCGTGCCTCAGAACGCCCCCCTCCCCTGCAGGCACATTGGATGAGCGAGAAGGGACAGGGAGCTGCGGCCGGGAGACGGGGGACCAGCCTTCTGGAGAACCCCAGGGAGGAGGGCCTTGGGAACGCCAGGAGAGCTGGATTTTCTAATCCTCTGCAGCAGAGACACGAGGGGGCTCTGGATGGGCTGGCACCTGTGCAGTCATAGGGCATCGGCGAGGCCGGTCGCCAGGCAGCCATCGTCCCAAGGACCACGTGCGAGCAGCCTCGGGTGCTCCCAGCCCAGGCTGGATTGGGGCCATGGAGAGCCCCTAAAGGGTGCGAAAGGGGAAATTTTGTTTCTGCATTGCTTGGATTTCTGCCCCACTGTTTGGCCAGCGTGGAGGGGGACAGCCTCATACGCAACCCAACTCACGGAAGGGGGTCTCTCTTGGCCTGGGGGATGCATCCCATCGCGGTGAAGATTACAATGGCCACATTCCAGAGCAGGTTGCAACCCTTCTAAAAGTGGGGGAGACGGCAGGGAAGCTGGGAAACTCGCAAGCAATCGCGGCTGCGGGAAGGCGGGCTGGCGAGGTGCCAGGGCAGCTCTGGAGCGCCATCTGGCGGCCAGAACTGGAACAGCCCCCTGGACCTGCAGGATGCTGCCCAGGCTCTGCCGAAGTGCCCAGCCTCTCGCAGAGCCCCAGCTGGGAGACGTGGGGAAAAGCTCGGAAAGAGCCAGCTCTCCCCTCCCTTCCGGTGGCTGCCTCGGCACTGCAGCTCTTCCAGGCAGCGGCCCCGCTGCATGTGGTCCCCGCCTCGCTCCACCCGCTTCTGCAGCTCCGGAGTCCTGCTCGGCTTGGCCCACCTCAGGTACCTGCTCCCGCTCGGTTTGTCTTCCCGGCGCTCAGCCTCTGCCTTGGCCTTGTTCCGACGTGCCATCTCGCGCCTGCCCTGGGCCTCGTCTTCGAGCACCAACTCGGCCCTGGCCTGCCTTAGGTGCTGCTGCCCTGCCCGTGCCCTGGCACTGGGGACCACCTCCGGGCCCCAGGAAGCCCGGCTTGTGATGCCGAGCCGTACCCAGGCTTTGGGGACAGGCGCTGGTGTCCCTCGGCAGAGCAAATGCACCAGGCAGCAGAGAGCTCTTTTCGAAACTTCACTGCAACGAAGGCCTTCCTTCCCCTTGCCACTCGCCGACCACGTGCCCGCACCCCGTATTTAAGCCCTTTTCCCGTGCCCCCCTTGGCTACCTTTCCCCTCCCGGTTTCCATGTTCCAAATCATGCCTGTCAGTGGCGAGGCACAGGGATTGTGTCACGGGCTACGGCAGCCCCGTCTGGCTTGAGGAAGCTCTCGCCTGGGACAGGCCTGGAGTCGACCTGCTTTCCTGAAATAACTGGAGTGCGTTTCGTGAGAGGCTCGGAGCCGCTTTGGCGCTTGTTGCTTTGGTTTTAAAGCTCCAGAACCAGTGAGGAGACGTGCTTGGGCTTGTAGGGTGAAACCCTACCTGTGTTAGGACAGAAAAAATCATTCCTACGACTCCCAGCGTCCCCCGGCCTGCCGCAGCGGCCTCTCAAAACGCCGTCTCATTCCAGGCTGGCTGGGAACGCCGGCATCGCGGGAGCAGCACTGGAGTGAAATCGCAGCGCCCTTGGTGTCGGAGGAGGGGGGCCAGCCGGAGCGGCGAGTCCAACTCCTCCCCCAGCCCCACAGGCGACTGGGCGGCCTCGGGTCCATTGCTCTCCCTCGGCCTAAGCTACCCTACGAGGCTGTTGTGGGTCTAGAATGGGAGGGGAGGAGCCCCTTGGTGGACGGAGAAGGAAGGTGCCCCCTGGGCCTCAGTGGCCTGTCCTGTTGGGCCTGCCACGCGCGCCCCTGGCACATGTCGCCTCTTGCACGAGTGTTGGGAGCGCCTCCTGCGCGGAATGCGGCTGGGGGCAAAATCCTTTCTCACTTCAGCAGCTGTCCGCAGCTGCACCAGCTCGTTGGCCACTGGGGATTCTGGAGCCGTGGATGCGGCTGGCTGGGTGGAGGACCAGGGCTGGGGTTCCCGTGGAGGGGACGGGCTTCCCGGTGTGGGAAATGGAATCCCAGTAGTGACGATACGGAGGCAAAGTACCAAGCAGTAAGAGTTTAATTCATTATTGCAAGAGCGAGCGCCCACCATGCAGGCAGCGCGCCGTTTATACACAAGGCATTGCTTTTTATTCCCTTTTCCCGGCTCGCAGGCCCTACCTCTGTACTCCCATTGGCTGGGTTACTAAGAAGTTACAATCTTCTCCGTCCGCCCACGTCATACTGCCCCTTGATATGTTCCCCCTCCCGCTCATACATCCCATGTGCATGCTAATGAGCTCATTACCTATGAGAGGTGTGTCAGTTACTATTCATGAACGTATTACACATGCACACTACCTTCTAAAAGAACAGGTGGGCTTGGCCTTGTAGCTTCTCTCTTGATGCCAACTTGTTTCCTAAATCTTGTGGGGAGATAGGAAGAACAGGGCTTCCTCCAGGCTCCTTACGACCAGCTGTAAAAGGCAACCAATTTCCTACTCCCTTCCACAAAAGGTGACAGTTTTACCACTGCTTCCCCCCCCCTCCCCAATTTTACCCTCTCGGGTATTCTTCAGAACTTTGATGCAGGAAACGCTATTACTTATAGTACAGCTATTTTCATGGTTCTATCCTCAGGCCTTAAGGGACTTCAGTGATCCTACCCTAGCCCTGTGTTTCACCCTTTCTTTGGTTTTCAACTGACCACTTAGTAACAGTGATTGTTCATTTCTCACACCGGGGCCGGTTTCCCGTGGGACTGCTGCCGCTTTGGCCAGGGCAAGCATCTCTGCTCCGGCTCGGGAGGTGCTGCTAGCGGAGACAGAGGGTACTCTCCGCCTTGAGGATTCCTTGGGCCAGCGAATGCGGGGAGGGCAGCCCTGCAGGGAGAGGTCCGAGGCTGGAGACCGGGAAGAAAGGAGAAAGGCCGCCCCCTGCTGGGCCCAGGCGGAGCTCCCGGCTGTGTCATGAAGGGACAGGGGCCAGCCTCTGTGGGGTCACTGCCCACTGGCCTGGCCACTCA